ATAGATGAGTATTTGAAAATTCTGGAAAATAATTTTATTAAAAATTGATTGTATTAATAGACAAAAACTTTCGTAAACTTTTAAAACGGAATTTAGATTATTTAACTTTTTACAAAAAGCAATTTCTAATATTCAAAAAAGTTAATTTGAATGAATTAAAAAGCAAAAAAAAAAAAAAAAAAATTGTTACAAAAAATTGATTTCGTGAAAATTTTAATTATAGAAAACATATTTGTTTAAAAGCAAAAGTTGTCGATTTAAAATTTATGTAAAATTGTGTAATTTTTTTCATTAATAACAAAAAACATCCGGAAGTTTCTGGAAAATTAAAGGATTTTCAAGTGAATTTCCGGAATTCAAGGAGTTCCCGGAAAAAACTCATCTATGAATATTTTAAGCATGAAGCAAAGATAATATAGTTTACATAAATCAATCAAGTCAAATATTAAAAATCCGAAAAATTGTTTGGATAAAATATCTGGAAAAAATCAGGAATATGTTTTATCTTATTTTCTTTTTAATTTTGCTTTTAGCTGAGTTGTTTTTAATTTTTTTTTTCAAACTTTTCATAATTTTTCTATGAGTGATGAGTGAAAAAGCTTAAAAAAGAAATATATTACAAAAATAAAAACCTCAACTTGTGTGTATTGAAAATATTTTGGATATCCAGAAAAACTAAAAGTTGAAAAAAGTATCAGAAATTCTGGAAATATCTGGAAAAAGGTAATCCCTGAATTTAATTCTGATAAAAAATATGATTTAATTTAAAACTAATTTAATAAAAATATATAATTTTATCCTGATAAAAAAATATACAATTTAATTTAGATTTAAAAAATATATAATTTAATTTTGATTTAAAAAATATATTTAAGTTTATTAAAATTAAAGTTAATGCTTGGGTTTAACTTAACTGCAAAACTTATTTCAAAGTATTACTAAATATTGTTTAATATTTAAATTTTATTCGTTCTTAAAAATAAATTAGTTTATTTAAAAATAAATTAGTTTATTATCACAACTATTTTTTCAGTTTTTCTTCCTATACATTTTTTTTAATCAAAATTTATTTTTAAATTTTACTGCTTAGAAAATTTCCACAAAACGTAAGTTAAACTTTTTTTTTATATAACAAAAGTTAAATCGCAGTGATTATTTTTTAATAAATGATATATACAGCGATATAATTTTAATAAATGTTTGGAAAAATAATTTTTACTTTCACAACAAAATCACTAATAAAAAAATAAACTTTAAAAAAAAAAAGTAAATAAACTAACACAATTTTTTTATTTGTTACTTGCTAATTTTTTTTAAATAAAAAATCATTTGTAGTTGCAAAGCCGCAATTATAAATTTAAGAAATAATCATTAAAAAATTTAAAACTTTTACATATTTTAATTCATTTATGCAAACTAGCAGTAAGCAACCCGTAATACGCGTTGTTAGTAAAAAAAAAATTAAAAAAAAACCACGTATAGAAAAGCCTAGAAACTACTTTAAAATTGAAAAGCCTAGAAAATGACGTAACTCGACTAATAATAATAATAATAATATTAAATTAGCGTATTCATATTATCAGATGTCGAGAAAAGAAAGAAATTTGTTAATATCAAGCATTTTTAAAATTGTAATATTAAATTTAATTATTTAATATTAAAAAAAAAAAAGAAAATAAACATTCCCTTATAGTAAAAATAAAAATAAAGTTAAATAACATTTAACTCATTTTGCAGCAATTGATACTATTGCAGTAATTTTTTATCTAAAACAAGGTCTGATATATATATATATATATATATATATATATATATATATATATATATATATATATATATATATATATATATATATATATATATTTATATTTATATTTATATATATATATATATATATATATATATATATATATATATATATATATATATATATATATATATATATATATTTATATTTATATTTATATATATATATATATATATATATATATATATATATATATATATATATATATATATATATATATATATATATATATATATATATATATATATATTATAAGTTACTAAAAAATAAAAAAACCTCTTTTTTCTTAAATGGATAAAGTTGTCTTGCTGAAATCTTTTCCCTGAAAAAATTTTTGTTTATAATTATAAAAAATTAGGATTCATAATTAAAAAACCTTTTAAAAAATACTAGTATGAATGTTTTTACATATAGTGAAAATATAAATGGTTACAATTAAATAAAGGTTTTTAAATATAACTATTAAAGTTTGGTATTTACCAACTATTATTAAAAAAAAAAAGTTCAAAAATAAATAAAAACTTATCAATTTATATATAGTAAAACAGGGTAAAATGAAATAGCAGGTAGAATGAAATAGTTATGATAATGTTTATTCTTTCGCTCTTAATTAACTATTGAATAATTTTTTTGCAAATATTTTTTGATTATATTGTAGAGAATATTTTTCTGAGTAAGATTGTATAAAATGTTATTTTTAATTAAAAAAATTTTGTTATAAATTTAGAAGTTTTTGAATGCGTAATAAGATTTTTTTATTTGTTTGAAAAGGGAACTTAAAACTCTCGGAATATAAATTCGGTATCATTGAACTTAAAATGTTTACTGGTACAACTTTTTACGCTGATCAAGAATCTTTTTTAAAAATTAAATTTGCTACTTAATAAAAAAAGAAATGAAATACGCTAATAAATAAATAAATACGAAGCAATAGCTTATTTCTTAAAAGTGGCTTTTTTTATTAGGTCTCAAGTGACCAATAAATCTATAAATTTTTAGTATAAATTTCAATGAATGAATTTTTCTAACTGAATTTAAATGACTTTTACTTACTGCTTTTATAAAATGGTTCTAATAAATTAATGAAATACGATAGTTACTTCTTTATTAATTGCGGTCACCTTGTCTGCAAACAACCTTCAATATTGTAGTAACTCCGGCTATTCAAAAAGAAATTCAAAAAGAGGTTGCAAAACAACTGCAATCAGCCCAATAACTTGCAGCAGCTTTGCAACAAATGTTTTGTATCCAAATGTTGACACAAAAAAAAGAAAAAATGTAGATGTGCCAAGATTCGAAGGGAAGTGTCTTAACAAACCTGAAATACTTGAAATGTTGAAAAATGTTGAGGGCAAAAAAGCAGCAAAGCAAGCTAAAAAACAACCTAAGCTTAGTTGTAATGGAGAACAGCAAATAAACCAAGCAACAAGTCCAATGAAAATATTAGCAATTCAACTGTAAAAAGTCAATTTATGGAATGGTACCAGTGTGAAAATTCAAATTGCAAGGTTTGGCAACAATGTCAAAAATGCATACCAAAACGATACGTAAAAGGCGCTGAGTTTTATTGCTACAAAAAGTGCAGCACAAGTGAAAACTCAACTCAACCTATATACCTCAATACCTCTAAACAGCTCAAGATCATCACAAGAATAAAAAAGTTTATTTGATTTGATTTATTTTTTTAATTGTTATTATTGATTGTTCTTTTTAATTGTTATTATTGATTGCTTTTTTTTTTTTAATAAAGTGTTGTTCTAATTACACTTATATTTGGGTATTTCATTCTCCCTGAATGTCAGTGTAGAATGGAATAAAAATTTTTTTAATCAAATAAAGTTTTATAAAAAACTATACAAAAAAATTGTTAAAATTTTATATATTTAAATACAGCTCAATACTCTCTACAACTTTAAAAAAAAAATGAAAAATTTTTTTCCGTAAAAAATTAATAATTAAAATCCTTAACTATTCCATTTGATCCCATTTTACTCTAAGTTTCATTTTTTCAATACAATAATAAAATAAAAAAAAATTTATATATATATATATATATATATATATATATATATAAAAATAATAAAAGCATACACTTCCTTGGTTCCAAAATATTGAACATAGACACTTTCTGAAGTATTTTTATCAAAAAGACTTTGAAATACCTAAAACAGTCAATGATAAAATTTTCAATTAAAAAACTGTTTATTCTTCTAATGTTAAGGTAAATTTTTCAATAAAACAAAATAAATTGTTTATTTATTTAATGTTAAGTTTTATATAATTATTATAAAACCTAACCTAATAGTAATCACAAAGAGTAACTATTTTAATAACAAGTTTTAAAATATCTATAAAACAAACCAATCAAAAGTCAGCTAGTTAGTTCTAGCCTACGAAAATAATCTGAATAATATTATGACAATTTATTTAAAAATATCAATAATGGTTTATTACTTAAAGACATAAGATTCATAGGTTTAATATACATAATAACTAGACACTGCATAGTTGTTATCAATGTTCTTTTTTAAATTACAATTTTGCACACTAGGGTTATGACTTTTTGACTTTTTAAAAAAAAATTAACTTCCTGTGTTATAAATCAATGAACTTTTATTAGAAAACATTAAAAACATTTATTTAATCTTGTTACTGCTACTACTAAAACGTGTAGTTTTCCTGCAAATCATTTTAAACTTGTATAAATTAGAAGTGTTTAGAACTTTAGAACATTTTGGAAAATAACTAAATATTTTAGAAGGCTTTAGAACATTCTAGAACAATTTAGAATATTCTGGAATATTTTAGAACATTTTAAACTATAATATAGCTGCTTATCTAATTTTATAGTTAATTTCCAAAGAAATCACCAAATTGTGGAAGAATAAACTGAATTTTCCTCATGTATCTGATCAAATTACACGAGCAAAGCTTGATAAAATACTTAAATCTTATGATAAATGTGTCAAGCAGGGAAGCTTTGAGCCCCTTAATAAAACTTTTGATATTACTAAAGTGGATGGAACATGGTTATCTTCCAAGGACAAGCAATTGTACCATCTCCAAGTGGAAAGCAAAGGAACAGTACAGGCCAAGCAGCCAGTAAAGAAGCATCTATCCCTCTAAAAGACAAAAATTGTCTAATGAGTCATTCAACTCATTATCTTACTATCCTGGTTTTAGTGATTCTGACTCTGAGGCTGACGACAGTGAATATGTAAACAATGAAGATGAGACAACTCCTACAGCAAGCAGAAAAAATCATAAAAGCAAAATTGCAGTCAACTTGGTGACCTCCACAAGAGTATCAAACAAAGCTGCTAATATATTCAAGCAATTGGTTCGTAAAGGCATTGAGATCCCAACTTCATATTAATCAGCTATTTACAAGTCAACAATCAAAGAGGCAATCAAGTTGAAGAAAGAAATGATTGAAAAGTTGCATATGAAAAGTTGGTCCTTGCACTTTGATGGCAAGCACATTAACAAAATGGATTATGAAGTGGTTGTCCTTGACTTGGCTGGGCAGACCATTGGTTTACAGACCAACTGAATAAAGAAAATGACTAATAACTTGGCTGAAATACTGAATCCATACAAAAAGGCTTTAAGCTCTTTCACTGGAAAGAGCTCTCGAATACTGACCACGGAAATTGTATTTAGTTGCGAAAAACTGGCCAGGTTTTTTAGTCGTTTTGAGAACATTTAAATATATGTACGAAACAAAAAAATTTTTTTTTACGGACATACATGGAAACATAATAAACTTCAATTTTCTCAAAACATCCTTGTGCGAAAGAATAAAAAAAATATTCGCGAACACTAAAAACCCGCCAAATTAACGAAGAGACTAATTCTATTAGTTTAAAAAATACGCTGACTTGGCGAAATAAAGTTTTAGAGTATCCTGTTGAAATGTTTTAGAAATTGTCATATTCACGATTTGTTACGTTTTGAGGTTTCTAATTTGCTTGTTTTAAAAATTTATATTATTTGTTTACAAAAATAAATATTTTAAATATATATTAAATTGTCAAAATTTCAAAAGTTTATTATAAATTATAGATTTTATTAGTATATTCTTATCTTTTATTTAAAAAGTATGTATTCTTTATGTAAATGTAATTTTGTGCATCTGTTTTTTATTGTAATGTATCTTTTAAAGCAATTTTTATGATTTAAACAAAGACTTACAAAAATAATTGCGTTTTCAATAAAGTTATAATCGTTATAGTTAATAAAACTAATTATGTAACAAACATATAAGAAGTTTCTGGTTACTAAACACAAACAACGCATTCAAAGTAACTCGCGGATGAACAAGCACCACGCCTGAGGTCACGACAGAACACAAATATATATATAGCAAATAATTAGAAATAAAGAAAAGTTTCTATATATTGGTTTACCAACTCTAATTATTTTCGCTTAAGTTGCCATCCTTGAAACTCGTTATACTTTTTTCTGCTTTAAATACTAATTAAAATTAAAAAGCCCACTCACTAAACATCATCAGCGATATTGTGAAGCAGTTTCGCTTCCTCTTCATAAAGTATTTTTAACCTTTTTAGTTGATTTCTATCTTGTTAATTTAATTTCTATAGTAATTCAATGATTTAATTATTTCATTTGTTTATCTTACTAAGAAGAATTGCTTCAAATATGTTAAACTTTTCAAACTACGCGAAACATAAAATAGGTATTGAAAAAATTAACTTTTTTATTTATAAAATAATTTAGCTTAAATAAAACTAAAACTTGCGAACTTTGCTAAATAAAGAGCATTTGTTTTTTTTTTAAACAATTGCAAGTTGTTACTTTATATAAAAAACATCGCTTAATTTTATAAAAAAAATTACAAAAGAGCGATGTTTCGAAAATATTTGTTCTAAACGTAATTTATTTAGCTTTAATTTTTTTCGCGTCTAAAGATATTTTATTTGCCTAACTTTTTTTTTTTTTTTGTAATTGTTTCTCATCGGTCCAATTAATCTTATGCGCTTTTTTTTTTTGCTTTTTAAAATGTTCTCAAAACGACTAAAAAATCTGGCCAGCTTTTCGTAACTAAATATTATTTACGTGGTCAGCAATCGAGAGCGATCGCTCCCGCTTCCCGACCAAGCCTGTAAATAATAGTTTGTTTTGTGTTTTTTAGGTAAATGTTCATCAAACTACAGTACAGGAGCATGGGGTTGATAAAAAGTCATAACCCTATTGCACATTTTTTCACACAACATGGGAAACATTACCAACAATTAAAATGAATAATAAATGCTGATGTTTTACGCATATATCATCCTGATATTTTGTACTTAGATGTTAGAAAAAAGTGCCACACACAGTTTAGAAATATTGCTTATAGCAAACTGGCAACACCTTTAGAAATAAGCTTTTTACTTTTAAAATCTCCTTAAATACATTTTAAAATGCCAATTAAAACTATTGTTTAAACATCTATACAGTGCATATGAATACATAGATAAACAGAATAACACAACATAAGTTGTGTAATTTTTTAAAAAGAAATGATAACTCAAGTTAAAAAAAAAAAAACGATAGTAAAATTATACTAAAGCTGGGCAACGACTTGTTTTACGCGGAACTTCTACTAACAAGTTTTCAATAAGAAGACGGTTACGCAACTTTGAAGGATTCAGCTCCTCAACTTTTCCGTTTTCTAATTCAACTGTAATCTAAAAATGGAAGTCAAATTTTGAAAATTTATTTTCATCTTAGATAATAATCAAATACATAAGATTAATAAATAATTTTAAAAATTTTTTTTTATTTTTACATAATGATTAATAAAAAATATATATATTCTACAGGATCTATAGAATAAAAAAACAACTTTTTTTTTAGTTCTTTATATATATATATATATATATATATATATATATATATATATATATATATATATATATATATATATATATATATATATATATATATATATATATATATATATATATATATATATATATATATATAATATATATATATTACAGTAAGCTGGGTTCAAAATAGGTGTCAGATATTGCCACCCTTAAACCCTCCCTGAGATCTGTTAGAGGAGGGCAACCTATCATTGTTTATTTTTTCAGTAAAAATAAACAATGGTGGGCTGCCCCTCAAACAGGTCTCAAAAACAGTTCAGAGGGTACCAATATCTGACACTTATTTTGACCCCTGAGTAAGTACTTCTCACTTTAAAATGAAAGTAAGATAAATATTGTGATAGACAAGTACAGAAAAGCTCATTAAAAAAATACTTAAAGATCTCTTGAAAAACCCTCTTATAAAAATGGAACTCATCAGTATATCAATCATTAACGCCAAATCCTTTTTAAATTAAAAAACCTATTAAGATTTGGATATGTTTTAAAAAGGTTTTAACTTTAAACAAGTTCTTGATTTAGCAAAAGCTTATCTCAATTTTTTTTTTAATAAATGCAGGAATGTATAATGTGTAATTCAAATTTTAAAATCCCAGAAAATCATCTTAACCACCCAACTTGTCTGGTTTTCTATTACTTTTTCATAGAGTCTTAGCAGGTACTTTTTAAAATATATATATATATATATATCTTAAACTTTCTGACATATTGACTTTGTAGGTTTAGACAGAAGATCTTGGTATAGACAGAAGTCCTTGATTTAGACAGTGCTTAAATATTTTTAGATTTACTGAATTTGATAAGATATCACTCAACATTTTAACAATAAACTCACTCAACGTTTTTACAATAAAACTCAACTTCAATTCAGACTCATTATTAATTAGTATTAAACATATTAACAATTTATTAGATTTAATGAATAAATAAAAATTTTAGAGAATAGAAATTATATTAAAAATACTAGTTCATGAAACACTGATGTTAATCTTAAAAATCTCTGGTCTGACTTACTTTGATATCTCGCAACTATTGAATGAAAATCTCTTATAAATTGATTTTTTTTTTAAAAAGTTTGTCCACCATAGGTCAATATTCAATTTGATTTAAATCTAGTTTTTAAGATCAAGCTTTTTGAAATCACAAAACTATTTTAAGAACAAAATTACAGCTGGCAAAGAAATTTTGTGTACATCTGACTTAATTTTTTTTCTTTTTGAAAAACAAGATTAAAAGGAGAAAAAAACTATAAATATTAATTTTTAAGAATTATCTAAAAGTCATAAGCCTTTCGTTCTTAAATTAAATACATTTTGGATTCAGAGAGTCAGAGAATCTGAAAAAGTTGCAGAGACATCTCCTGAGTTCTAACTCTCTATTTCTTCTGTCCATTTTAAAATTGAAATGGAGCATGCTTGAGGAATCTTTGATTTTAATTCCTTCCAACTGCTTTTCTATTAGGTTGAGATTTTAGCTGTTGCTGGATCACTCCAACACATTAACTCTTTTGCTCAAGAACCATACTATTGTTTCAATGTTTTGATTGTTTTCAATGCAACATCCACCATAGTAAACGACCGAGGCTGGTATTTGACTGTAGTCAAGGCCGGTTCTACGGAAGAGACTGCATAAACATTGACAGTGCATATTGACTTGTTTTTATACATCATATCAATATGTATCAATATTTATACAGCCCCAACCATAAACCTTGCTGATGAATTCCAAAACGGTCCTAAAGTTTTTTTTTAAACACCTCATACAGTGTTAAAAACTCAATGCTTCATTTTTAGGAAGAAAGTATAGTGTTCCTTAGCCCTGTTTGCCACTAAAGTAATTCCAAATTATTACATACACATTATGCTTGACAGTTTGGATGTACTTGAATTTGAATCGGTCAGAACCACAGGGGCAATGCACTTACATTTGACTTCTACCTATCAGTGAAAAATTGAAAAATTGTCTGACCACATGACAGTAGACAATTGCTCTTGTGTCTAATGCATGACTGCATGATGGTAGACCATAATTCTTGTGTCCAACATTGCCTACGAGCAAATGCAATTGTTTTCTTAACCACGGCAATCGTAAGCAATAAAAACCTTTGTATCAAATAATTTTTGCCAACCTGATGCCAACCTCTAAAAGATTGAGGTCGGCAAATTATTGCCGACCTCAATTTTCTAAATTTCAAGAGTTGTATATACAGGACCTCTCCTGTGCAAGTACTTTTTAAACTAAATACTTAATACTAAGAAGACAATCATTTTATGAAACACAACTATAAAAATTACAAATGTTGTATAAAACAAAATTTTTACTAAAAATATATATACTTTTAAGAATCATAATATAGAAAATAAAAGCGCAAACATGCAATTCTTAATTTTAATCATTCATTCATTTATTGCCATTTGCGGCAAAAACTTACAAGAAAATAAAGTTTAAAGGGATCCCCAATTGCCGAGACAAGTTGTAATCATATTAAAGAAATGTTTAAAAAAAAAATTGGGGCTAAATTTTTTTGATTAAAACTATATAATGAATGCACACCATTAAATTTAAAATTCACATTTTAGTCGAAGCTTGCTGTCTCCATTTTTTTTGGTTCTCGGAGTCTGTATAATGTAAGTGGCAATCTGCAGACTTGATCATTTATTCCATGCGTGTTTAATTCATAACAGTTTTGGTATATGATGTCATCGTATAAGTTTTATTTTATTAAGATCTCATATTATTTTTTTGCCACAATCACTAAATCTTGTTAATTGTATAACTTTTTAGTAAATCCCAAAAAAAGTTTATGATGCAATTAAAAATTAAATTTATAAAAATAAAAATTTAATATATAAGGAATATTTACAATAAACGTAGTGATTTAAACTAAATATAAACTAGATACTAAAAAAATAATTTTACAAAAGCGTATAAATTAATTTAAAGTATAAACTGAAAAAAAAACGAGTGACTTGAATAAAACATATAAACTGAACTATGTAGAAAATAAATATTAAACAACTTATTTTACTAATAACCATTCAAATCAAACTAAATTAAAGTTAAAACAAATATTTGTACTAAAATATACAAAAAATAGTTATAATATAAATATAAAAACAAAGAATCGCATTAAATTGTTTGCTACCAGCCGAACAAAAAGCTTTTTATAGCAACTGCAAATTTTTTTGAATAACATTTGAATACCATAACATTGACAATTAATTAAAATTTGATAATGATAAAGTTTTTAACACGCATCATTAAACAATAAGAAATGCAAAGTGCTTAAAACTATTGTTTTAGTAAGTAGTAACTAAAACATTAAGTCCAAAACAAACCTCATTTAATAAATAAAAATAATATTTTTTCTTCAAAATACTTTGGTAATTACTTAACTAAATACTTAACACAAGTTATGTTTTACAATGTTAACACTGTTTTATTTTATAACTAAATTTAAAGTTTTTTTATGAAGGGTTATTCAAGATTTTTTAACTTGGTGATAGCTTTTTTATAATTACACAATATAGCTCTTATTTTTTCTTGATTATGAAGAGAATTCAGAACAAACAAATTCTATGTCTAGAATGGAAATTTATGTACGAAATAAGATAAATTGTAAAGCATACTCGAAAGCCGTTACCAGTGGCTTACCGTAGTAGAGTTAAACCATAATTAAATGTAATTTAAACATAAAATGAACAACTCTATTAAACCATATGAACTAAATATAAAACAAAAAATCGCATCATACTGCCTTTATTTTTTCTCTGCCTGCGAACTCTAATAATCACAAAATATGTATGTGTCATAATTTTGGCTGGCTTCTACAACAAAATGATAATAAAACAAGTAAAAAAAAATATAAATATAATTTATATATATATATATATATATATATATATATATATATATATATATATATATATATTTGTATAATTTTTTACTGTCACAAATATTTTTTGTGATTTAGTAAAAAATTATACAAATGTTTAATTTTCTGATTGTAGTAGAAAAAATACTTTTTAATAGTATAAAAATACTAAACAACAACAAAAAAACGCTATCTTAAAAAGATATTGTGATGACGTTATATACCGAAACTTTTATGAATTAACACGCATGGAATAAATTATCAAGTCTGCAGATTGCGGCTAACATAATACAGGCCCTAAGAACCAAAAAAAAATTGAGAAGGCGAGCTTCGACTGAAACGATAATTTTAATTTTGTTGGTATGCATTCGTTATTTAGTTTCAATCAAAAAAATTTAGCCCAAATGTTTTTTTTTTAAGATTTTCTTTAATATAAACACAACTTGTCTCGGCAGTTAAGAATCCCTTTAAAGAAAGAAAAAAAAGTGACAAAGTGCAATTGAAAGAAAAAATAATTTTAGGTTAAATACAACAATTATTATTTTATTATTAAAATAATATATTAAATTTTTTTATTAAAATAATAATAAAATAAGAATTTCAATCATTAATGAAAAAAGGAATTTTAATAAAATTTCCTGAGTTTTCCAGGTTTTCCCTGGGACTCATGCTATTTCCAGGTATTCCAGGTTTTCCAGGTTGAGTAGCAACTCTGTAAACAATAAAACGGTTTTAAACGGTTTTTCAAAATATAAATGATTTTATGAAATTTTATTATATACATTTTCCAAATTACATTCTGACTATTTGTCAAGCCTTTTTTTTCAAAACTCTGATGGTCCCTCACATCCCTCACATGGTGAGGGATGGAGGGGGAAAAAGAAGGTTCATTGACTGTTCACCAACTGTTATTTTTTACACT